GCTCAGGACCACTGTCAGGGGTCTGGGCCAGAGGAGCCAGGGTGACACTGACTCAGGTGGGCCTGACTTCAGTCTCAGAACAGGCCGGGAGAATGAAGGCATCAGCTACAAATGGGACCATCGCTCCAGCCCCTGGCAGTGTGTGTGGAGGGAAGTCCTAGGGCTCATCCTTTCCTAGGGAAACAGGCTCAGGGCTAACTAAGCTTGGGACCCAGCCTGTTGCTGTGTGGCCCTAGATAAGCCCTTTCCCCTCTCTGGGCTTCAGTTCACTTATCTACAGAGAATGGTGAAGTCTCCTGGGGCCTTCTGCCATCTGGCTAGTTAATTAGTTTCAGGGCTGGTGCCTCTGCCATGGGCCGCCCCTGGGTCCCCCAGGGCATGGGTGGGTGGTACAAGCAGGGGCCTCCTCCCCTAGCAGCAGCCCCTCCTAACTTCCTGTTTACAGCTGCTACAGAGTCTCAGTTCTTTCTCCCAAGCCATTTTGATCACCATGGCAACCGGACTGGTGTTTGTTCCAACAGGTTGATAGAACCTGACATAAAATTGCAGGGGTGGGGGCACCAGTTCCAAGATCCTGGCTCAGGACCTGCCAGTCCCCCGGGGAAGGACAAGCTGCCCCCATACGGATTGCTGTACCCCGAAGAGGAAGCCCAGTAGCAGCTGGTGGCATGACTCCAGGCCCCCGCTCCTGCTTCCATGACTCATCTCTGTCCCAAGCAGCCCATGCATATCCTGAACAGCCTCTGCCTCATCTGCCTGGCTGTGCTGGGTCAGGATGGAAGTAGGGCCTCGGGACAGAGCTTATAGGAAACCTAACCTGCAATTCTGTCCCCGCACCCTGCAATGCAGTCTCTGATCCCCCTGCAGTGCCTCTCTCTCTCTCTCTCTCTCTCACACACACACACACACACACACACACACACACACACGGTAGTTCTTTGTTTCTTCCTACAACGATGGGTGGATATAGGGCAGCATGATGTGAGTCTGGATCTGGAAGCTGCGACAGGTGGTAGCCCCATCAGAGAGATGCCCACCCCACCCCTGTGTACGGGGCGAAGCACCCTGTAGGTGGGCAATTCGCTGAAAGATGCAGTGGTTAAAGTTGGTGCCTCTCTGCGTGGAGCTATGCTCTGGAGCCCTGTTACTCCAGCCTTTGGGTCTCCCTTCAGCTTGCCTGACCCCTGGCCTTGCCTCTGGGCCTGAGCTGTGGGTTCCAGGCTTGTGTTTCTGTCCTCCAGGGTGAAAACTCCAAATCTCTGTCTGATCCCCAAGGACAAGGTGCTCTGAGGATCCAGCAGGGTGAGCCAAAAGCAGGTCTGGGATCCGGGGACCCTGTGCACCGCAGGAACAGAACCTCTGCACAGCCCCCACAATCCTCCAGTGTGGCCCAGACCCCCAGCAGCACTGGAGCTTGTACACCTGCAGATGGCCCGCCCCAACCCAGACTTTTGGAATCAGTAGGTTTGGGGTGGGCCAGCAATCTGTGTTAACAAGCTCTCCAGGTGACCGCGGTCAAGTTCCAGAATGCTGTGTGGATATGGAGTGGGGAGCCCAGAAAGGGACCCTAAAAGCGGGCTGGGAAATGCGCGGGTGGGGTCCAGCTCAGGCCCTGGGGTTCCACAGGCTGTGTGACCAGGACTGTGGCTCAACCTGGGGTGTATGGGGCCTCATCGGGACCATGGGGACGATCGCCTCAACAGGTAGTCAAGGTCGTTACGGGCATCCTGGGTTGATGACTGCAGCACCCCTCGCTCCTGGTGTGGACTCGCCCCCTTGAGAGGAGGGAGCTGTTAAGCCCGAGGTGGCGAGTCCCCAGACCCAGGCCTGCTCCAGGTTGCCACCGGGGACAGCGCGGGGCTGGGAGGATGACTCCGGAGGTGGCTGCCCAGCCCTTCCCCAAAAGTCTCTTGTTCGGTCTCGGTGACTCTGGCCTCGGGAGGGGCTCCTGACGCAGAGCTGAGCCTGCTTTCAGGTCGGCAACAACCGATGGGTTGACTGACAGCTCTGCGCCCCGACCCCTGGGGGAGGGAGCTCCTTGGCCCCGGCCCTGGGAGAGCAGGGACCCTCGCCCGGCCTC